GACCAGAAGTGCCACTTTATATTAACGGTGAAACACGTTTTTACAATTTTCCCCAAAACGGCACTAACGATTTTGATTAAACTTGGTGTATCATTGTATGATTAAGTTTTTTTTTTTTTTAAGTTTCTGCATGTTTGCTAATTCGTAATAAGCACTGTCTTAACATGATGTCTAAATCTGAAAAATTATGACAAGTTTCATAGAAAATAGACAAAGTAAAAATTAATTTTCAGTATATTTGGAGAATATTAAAGAGAAGGAACTGACTAGACAGAGGTTTACTGATACAAAGCGATCGAGCCAAAGTCCCACGGAATGGCCAAAAATAGATTTCAATGAAAGAGCTGTCGATATTGTGGATGTTATCGTTGAGTCAGTTCTCTGCAACATCTCTATTCGCGATATATAATTTTTTTTACTCATTGATTACATGAGTTTAACAACTATAAATATTTAATACTGGGCTGGGTTTTCTTTCCTCCCTATTTTCATAAAATGAACTAATTTATTGGTAATTTAATTAACCGTTAGAATGATACGTGTGTAATTCTTATTGAAATATATAAAGATATCAGTATATTTGCCTTTTTGTCCATTAAGTAAATAATATATTCTAAAATAATATATGCACAAATCATTAATTTGTAATTACAGTATATTAACTTCCTGAAAAAAAAAACTTACCTTAAATTCATTCTAACTCTCTTATTTAAGTGAATATTTAAATAATTATAAACTTTTTATACCCCAAGCACTAGCGGATCCAGGATTTAACATTTTTTTTGGGGGGGGGATGGAGGGAGGAGTGAGGTGCTTCAGCCCGAAAGGTTTTTTTTTAATATAACGGTATATAGGTATGTATGTGTTCTTTTTATTTATTTATTTTTAGATTATTTTATTCTTATTTATTCTATATCTATTATTTTTCTGTATAATTCATTTTATTTACTGTACATAGATTGTGAATGTGATCTCTGAACACTATTATAAATGCCCTTTGAGACAGATTGTAATATTTTTCAATAAATAAGTTTAAAAAAAAAAATATGACGATAATTACTTTGGAAGAAAAAGAAAGAAACTAACTATCTATACGAAATGGTGTTTAAGTTATTTTTGAAGTCCTATTAAATATAATTACACGAACAATAATACTTTTAGAGATAACTTTTTTATATGTTTTTTCATAAAACATGGTAATATTTTACCATTTTAGAGGGAGAGGGCTCTTCTTTCCCTCCCCCACGTAGATCAGCCTGTGACCCCAAGCGATTACATTCAGAATCTGAAATGATGCTATAGTATGACATTACAGAAAAATGAAGAAGAAAGACAGGCGGAAGAAGCTTCCTTTACATTACCTGTGCTGTAGATGAATCGACTTCACGTGTGTTCCTAAACTGTTTAGGCAGTGAGTATACTGTAGACTGCATACCCGAGCTTTTGTTGGTATTAATGTTATATGAAATCTAAAGTACACAACTTTAAATATTTTTGGTAGCGCTAATATCGAAACAAATCATCGGATATTTGATTTTTAAAAGTTACGAAAAAATGCTAAATAAAACTTTTGAAAGAATTTGATAATTGAATAAAGGAGACAAATAAAATAAAAATGCTTATCCAGGTCAATAATGAATTCCTAGAATTACTAGCCAGAAGGTATACGCATAGTATATCGTTGGAAAGCTGAGCCTTTTAGAAAAAAACAATATCGAATAAATAAAGTTGTAAAAGGTAAAGGAGAGTGGCAAAAAAAAAAATACGCTGCAAATGATTTCACAATGGTTTATTATCTCTAAACAATTATACATCTAAAGTAAGATTACCTTACAAAGAAAAAAAAACAAAAGGTGATTCCAATTATTGGACTAAACTTTTTTTCTTTAATCATTAGTAATATGCTAAAAAAAAATAGCATTAGTACAGTAACACATTAAAAATTTAAAAACCAAACCAACGATATAACATTTGAAGTAGAACACACATAAAAAAAAAAAAGGAGACCATATCTTTGCTTCTAATTGTCCGATTTTAACGATTTTTTTTTTTTTTTAGGAAATTTCATAAACTTTTAAAAAACTATTTAAAAAAAAAGTAAAAACTTTTCGGGTTATTCGGAATTTAATTTTACCATCCATCGTAACTTTTTTTCCAGCTTCTTTTCTTTGAAGTATGTTATATAGATAAATTTAAAGGGCGTCGAGAAAATGACTTTAGCGAAGTTTCATTGAAATCTGTACATTCGTTTAGGAGCTACAGTCTACAGCAACGCAGGTTTTTCGGCCGCCATTTTGAAAGTTAAAGGCGGAGAGTAATGTAGATGAAGGAGGATCATCCTTGGGTTACCTCTGATTTTATATCAAAATTTGAAAAAAATTGGTCCAGTACTTTCGGAGAAAATGCGCGGACCGTGGACGGCGGACGGCGAACGGACAAAAAAATTTGTATTCGTTTTTCGAATTCTACGCATCTTGAAACGTGAAACCTCAAATTTTGAGAGGGGGTTATGTTTTTGAATTTTTTGGTCTATCACAGTGTTTCATTATTGAAAATAATAAACCAATATAAATAATAATTTTAGAAAACTAATAATATTTAACGTAAATCACATGTTTTCAAGGAAATTAAATGAAATTTACTTAATAAATGTAAACTTTTCAAATTCTTGTTAAGTTTGAAAAAATACATTTAAAATTCACCTAGAAAGTTCCACCATACAGAAGTTTTATTAAGCTTACATGTAAGTTTATGAATCTCAAAAGAGCATAAGGGACATAGATTCAGAATTGTTACTATTTCTTCTTATTTAATTTCATTTTATTTATCAGCTCGCTGACATCCTTAAACTAAAATTTAATTTCAGAATGACTTTTGCCGTTACATTTTTACTTCTGTTGTGCATTTTCGTTACAAAGTTATTTTTCTTCGAGTATTGGAAAACTGTTTTAGTTCTTCCCTCGTTTAAGAACTCGATTGATTTTCGGCTATTGATCAAACTTTCTTTTCATCATTTTTCGTTTTATCCATTTGGAATGATAATGATCAGGTTTCTATTGTTTTTCCCTTAGGTAAAAAGTAGGTTCCTTGGCCATTTTCTTTTTAGTCTTTGTCGATCAGGTAACAGGGATCTGGAAATAGAAAGGACTAGTGGATTGAAGTGATTTAGAGTTGAAGAATGAAACGAAGTGTATTTGTCGTGAATGTAGGATTTTTCTGCTGTGATGATGTTTAAGTCGTTATGTATTCTGTTATTTGAAATGTACCAAGATGCGTTGACAATTTTTCTTAGAATTTTTTATTTTATTGTTTGTTCTTTATTTTTGTATTTTTCCGAACCCCAAAGTTTTGCACCGTATTGGTCTCAGTATGGTGTTATAGATCAGTCGCTTGTGAGGATCAGTAGTCCTGAAGATGTGGGAGTTGGTTTTATCGTCTAGTCAGTTCTTATATTTTTAATTGAGAATGTATGTTCAAATTAAGTCTTTTGTCTAAGTAGAGTCCAAAGAACGGTGCATAGTTTTTCTTAACATTTCATCACAATTAATTGTTAGCATGAAACTGAGTTTATTATTATGAGAAATATTAATTAAAAAATATATTGGAAATGTTCAGAAAGAGTTACTTTGAAGTTAGAGATTCCAGGCACGCGCGGGTCTGTGCTTTGAAGTTGGCCGACAAAGGATAATGAAGTTGGCAGTTAGGTTTAGCTCTTGCCAGCCGTGAGCAGCTGCAACTTTCAACATTAGAAATTGAAATGAACCAGTTTACGTAATATTACGGGTGGAATTCGGTTGGTAATTTACTCCTGAAGAAACGAAGACAATTTTTACCGACTTTTAAATACTGAATTTAATTTAATGAGGAAAGACTCTCCTACTCAATGTCTTTCCTGCGGGGTACCTCTTACAGTGAACCATATCCTAACCGAATGTTATGCATTCCAATCTTCTAGGGGTCAACATCTTCTCAGAAATAGCCTTGAAGAATCACTCCAAAAGGATCCCTAATGCTATTAAAAACTTAATAATGTTCCTTAAAAAAATCAAAATATTTCACAAAATTGTAATCTCATCTACGAATTCGTACAAAATTTAATCACATGTAATTGTAAATACACCCGTTAATTTTTGTTTTTTTAATCTTTAATATTTAATTTAAATGGTATTTGTAAACTTGCCTTCTAGTATTTTTTAATATTTAAATTGTACTCTTTGACTTCTCTTCTTTTAATATTAATTTTTATTTTTTTGCTTTTATTTTTAAAACCATTAACGGTATATTTTAATTGTCTTTCTTAACTTGTCTTCTTTTAATCTTTAACGTTCAATTTTTATAACTTTAATTCATATTCAACTGTAACTATTTTTAACTTTCTAAACTTTAAATTGTTTTTGTTAGCTGTAGTTTTGTTATATATTCTTATGTAGTAGTTGATCCGATTGTAATATAGGGCGAAAATGACCCAGGTGGTTGAAAAGCCCAAAATATTTACAAATAAATTACTGAATATGCACTACATGAAATAAGTACATTTGTTGGTAAATTTTTACTTTCTCTGTAAAACCAAGACCAGGATCTTTTAAAAAAAATCGATTTTTTTGAAAAAAATTTAGGCAAAATAGTTACTAATACTTGACAATCTTAGTTACTATATGTTAATAATTGGTATAACCAATATACTTTTGCATTTATCTCCTCTAGTAGTAATAATAATATAGTAATAAGCTAATAAGTAACTGCAAGACTGTTGCGGAAGTCTTGCGCAAGACCTAGACCATGACCAAGACTGAGTTTGCAAGACCAAGACTCGTTTCGGTCTCGCATTTGGACAACACTCATCCTCTTTACCAGAGGTTCTCGTTAAATTAAAAAATATACATAAATAAATAATTAGGTTCTTTATTATAATATATCTTGTAACATGATCAACTTAAATATACTCAATTATTATGAAAGTCGAATTAGAATTAATTATTAGAGTTTGAAAAGAGACTTACCTGAACAGTTCGCTGGCTGGTGTTGGGTCCTCCGTGTCCATGCATCTTCCGAAAGCGCCATCTGCAAGAAATATTTTTGAAACAGTTTAAATGAAATACATTTTATTTTGTAAATACTGAAATTGTACTCTACCATAAAACCTACATATTATTATTGTGTATGTATCATGGATTTATTTCATATATTTTTTTGCATCATGCTCTTATTGTTCAATGAAAGGTCAATGATTGATATATTAAGTGGAAAATAAAACTCTTCCTGTGTGAAGAGCTTTTAATTTGGCCATAGCTCTATAAACGGAATCTACTTTAAGTCGTGACTGACTTGGCACAATGAACGAGCGACCTTTCGGCAGCACGCGATGTGGCTATTCCGTTGACGCAATCCAGAAAGAGAAATGGTCACTTTTCCTTTTGGGTGCCGTTTGCTTTTTACAAATCAGAGAATAGAATTCAAATATAAAAGAAAAACCTTTTTGATAAAATCCAGCCAATAAAATAAAACTAATAAACAATATAATTCTAGGACTATTGCGATTGTTTTGAAAAATAATCAGCAAAAATAAGATGTAATATAGGTGTCGAATCTTTTTATCATTGGAGGCCGCAGTAAGGTTAGAAAGTTCCAATGGAGGCCATTATATTTTTAAATAATTTATTGTTGCTATTTTTATTTATCACTAAATACACACACCCATATAAATATAATAAACTTATTTTATTAATCTTTACATTTTTGTAAACTAAATAATTAATTCTAGATTCAAACTAATAAATATCGGTCAAAAAAGTGTGGAGACCCCAGTCATGTCACGAAGACCATATGCGTCTCAGGGGTCCCAGTTTCCTCACCTTTAGAATATACTCTATTTATATAATAGATAAAAAATAAATTTTCTGAAAATCTATCAGTTACCTAAGAAATAAAAAAAAATAAAATAAAATAAAAAGGGGAATATATCTAATAATCTTAATATTTAACGTTTTTGAAGGATAGAGGCTATTGATAAACAATCAATAAATACATTAATGTGTTTTTTTTTTACTGTTGCCTTACGATTTTACGCACAATTAATAAATTTTAGCACTTGAAGAGAATGAAAAAAATACAATTTGTAGAAAAAAAAACACGCATAGAATTTTGAGGAGAAATGGTATCATCAAATATTGCAGTTTATCTAAAAATGGTCATTCCGTAATTATGATTATTTCCTTAATTAAAAAATAAGAAGAGCATTGGTAGATTCTCAGTTTCTATGTATATTTAAAAATAAACTGCATATATTTATAAAATAGTTATGACAGATTTTTTCTCTATATTTTTATATAGTTGTTGAAGACCTGATTCTATTTTGCCATTAATGAAATTGAATGATTGAGAGGATAGAATTCATGTGACATTACAAAAGTGTAGTTGTTGCCAACGATAAAGGCGTGAAGTGATATATCTTCAATATTTTCTCTTTCCTTTAACACGAATTCAATGTTTTTTTCATAACCGAGTTGATAAAAGCACTCATTGACTATATATATATATCAGCCTTATAGCGAAGAAAGGTAATTTTTTTATTTCTCTTAAAATTTTAAATTGTACATATCATGAATTTGACAATAAGTAGAATTGTTATAGTGGATATGGAAAATAATATTTAGCCATGAGGAAGGATAGTACCCAACAGACACCTCTTCCTGTTCTTCATTTGGTTCCTTAATTCAGAAACGGAGATCTCTCATCCAGCTCCTTTTCAATCATATCTTGTGTCCGATTGGTTTAATATGAAATCGGGATTAAAAAGTCCATGTATGTTGGTCGATGGTTGATTGTCATAAGTCGTTATGTAGAGTTTTGTTATTTACAAAGCTGTACGTTTGCAAATCGAGATTATTGTTTGAAAGAGAATACTGGAAATAATATTCGACAGACTCACAGAATGAACACAACGACTGAAAACATACACTCCCTTTTTTCCAAATAAAAATTGAAAATAAGACAAAAACTAAATACCTACTCAAACCCATATCAACATATGTTTCACAGATTTAAGTTTTCTTTTTTTATTATACTTGTTATACACAGATTTAGAGTTTTATTATTTTATTTAATACTTACCAGGGTGCTATTAATTCTAAAATTTTTAATTGACATGATTGTAGTTTTTGTAACTTCGTTTTTTTTTTCTTAATCGTAAATCTGTGAGGCATATGTTTATATAGGGTTAAACAGGCATGTGTATGTATTTAATTGTTATCTTATTTTAATTTTAATTTTAATATATCCATATGAAACTGTCATGAAAATGACAATAAGCAGATTTGTTGTAATCTTAAAAAATTGCATTTTAGGCAAAGTAGGAAGAATAGTAGCACCCAGCAGCATCTTCCCTTTTCTTTGCTTACTTCCTTAGATCATGAAATGAGATCTCTCATCCAGCTTTTTTTCACTCGCCTCCTGATGAGCAGCCGTAACCGAGTTTTCTTGCTGAACCGTAAATCTGTGTGTTTTCTGTCCAAATTGGTTTTTTTAGGTATGTGTACATATTTTAATTTTGATTTGGGTAAAGTGAGCATGTCTATATTTTTAGTCACTTGTTTGAAGTATTTGTTTTCATTTCGACTTGTTGGCCCCAGGTCACTCTTCTGTAGAATATCATTTTTTTTTCATTGATATTTACAACTGTATTATAAAAAAAAAATTATAACTAGTAAATGTGCACTCAGGAATATAATAACATGAAATCTCTTGTTGAGAACCTACCCAGCGATAGCACCCAAATGATAAATTTACACAAGAAGTTTAAATTTACAAATAATAAGTTCACGAGGAAATCTTCTTTTCAGAGCGTCGGAGGGTTATCAGGGATCGAGGAGGAAGCAATATTTGAAACGAGAGGGTTCGGAAGGTTCTGCATTATGTTGTGGAAGGATAGTTATCTGGATTGGGCCAAATCGGAAACATATGGAACATTAAGATGTTTATGGATGATTTTATTTGTGACAAAGTAAATAGCGTTGAGAATTTTACGAAGGATTTTGGATTGGAAGGATTGGATAAGAGAGGAATTTGAAGGTTTGGTGGAGCCCCATAGCTCAAAACTAAAATTTAATTTCAGAATGACTTTTGCCGTTACATTTTTACTTCTGTTGTGCATTTTCTTTACAAAGTTATTTTCTTCTTTTGTTCGAGCATTGGAAAACTGTTTTAGTTCTTTCCTCGAAGGATTTTGGATTGGATAAGAGAGGAATTTGATGGTTTAGTGGAGCCCCAAAGCTCAATCCCTAAGTCCAAATAGGTCTTATCATTGTCATATTTATGAATCGTTTGTTATTGATTGAAAGCTTAGAGCGTTTGTCTAATATCGGTTTAAGTTTTCTCTAAAAAAAATAATCTGAATTTGAAAAAGAATAGCTTTGAAAAATAGAAAAAAAAAAAAGAAATTGAGTTTCATCAATATTCCATTATTGTGAGAAAAATTAAATGGAACCTGATAACTATTAATAAATAGTTTGAAATTTTAAGAAACGTAACTTTCTACCCTATCTCCAAAGATTTCTGAAGAAGGCATTGCAGACCTCACATTGATTTGGTCCTTAATGAAAGAGAGAAACTGTAGCTGAAGCACAAGAGAAGCCAAGTCAACTGGTAAAAGCCTTTCGCTCCGTTGTAGAGTGATGGGCTACCGACAATAAAAACAATGGCTAGAGTGGTGGTTATATCTAAGTTGTCGATAAAGAAACTGAAATTAATAACATTGGCTCAGAGACATGATAAACGATGCCCGTGTGACAGGAACCTTTCAGGGGGAGGTCGTTTGGTTAGGGTATAAATCATGGCTCAAACGGATCATAAATAATCATGGACTTCCTCAGATCATACGCGAACATTTCCCCCCTAACTTGCCTGTTATATATCATCCATACAAAACCTCTGTCCATATTGAATATATATTATATATCTTTTTGAATTGTAATCCAGGTTTCAAGAATAAGGCATAAAGAGAGGATTACGGATTGGATCAAACTTAGATTTGAAAGCAATACAACGCAGTGCGCATTTCTGTTGTACGTATTTTTTTATGCATACCTACATATGCATTTTCATGTTTTTATTCGCTCATAGATGTTTGTTTGTTGATTTGTTTGAGTTTTAAGGCTTAAAAGCCTAGGGTCATCAACGTCTGTGAGTCAGTTATTATTGTTGTCTTTTGAGTTCAGAAACTTTTTAGAAGAGAGAAAAAAAAATAATCAAAAACTAATAATAAATAAATAGAATGTACCGATACTTTTTAATGTAGTGTTGGACAAAATTATGACAATATTCTGGCGAAAAGACGAGGCAAGTTCAGTAATAGGAACAAAGAAGGAGAATGTGAAAGTAAAGTGTGCAGATGATTTAGCCCTACTAGAAGAGACAGAAGAGGAAGCCATAAAACAGGTAAACACCCTGAAAGAAATATCCGAGGAAACTAGACTACATATCTCTACATATGAAAAAACAGAAATTATGACAACAGATACCAACTTCACCAAGAAAATATTGGACACAAAATATGAGATAATAATATGTAGTAACGGAACGGATAAGGCATCAATCGAAGGAAGAATAACCAAACTGGAAAGACTGGACTTCGCCACAAGGAATGTTTACAACAAGAAAATTTTTTCCTCAAATGTAAAAATAAGGCATTAGTGTACAGTAGCAAGACCTGTAATATTATATGGTATGGAAACAGTCAGCTTTCCGAGCCTAGAGAACATCCTGAAGATTGAGAGGAAGATTTTGAGGAGGATTGACGGACCCAAGGTAACGCAAGAGAGATAGAGACTGAAATCCAATAAAGAAATATACAGAAAATTGAAAGATTTGGAAACAGTCGTTAGGGTGAGGTTCTATGGGCACATGGTCAGAATGAATAGTGAAAGACTGAACAAGAAAATTTTTGACAAAGTTTGCAGCTATAAAAGTATGGGGGGATATGTAAAACAAATAAAAGAGGAATTAGATAGGCTAAAAATCACGGATAAAGATTGCTTGGATAGCGAGCTTTTGAAAGGGGTTGGGGT